AAAAAACGATTTCATAAGAAGCATTATGTAACTGCAAATGTATACATACTATTAAAGCATTTAATGTTTTTAAATAATGCATTTTGTGTATTTTCAAATGATTAAAAATTAATTTTTGAATGTATTTCACTGGTTATTTTTTACATTTCCAAATACGTTACTATAGTATTGCAACTTTTTTTTATGGAAGGGGCCCCTGAAATTGCTTTGCCCCAGGCCCCCTGAATCCTCTGGGCGGCCCTGGACCAGACAGCAAGTGCGAAAAATCGGGACAGGGGGTGGGGTGGGGGTAATAGGGGCCCATTTAAGAAAAAGACCCAAAAATCGGGATTGTCCCTATAAAATCAGGACATCTGGTCACCCTAGATATTACACACACACACATCCACCTAACATGAAGGCTGAACCAGTTTGGCAGGAGTATGAGAACACATTTAAGGTGCTTTGAGGTATGTCAATTCTGTATTTTAGTACTTGCTTTGTCTTTTAAATGTACCATTACTTTAAATTTTCTATTTGCCGTGTGGTTGTAGCCATGTTGGTCCCAGGATATTAGAGAGACAAGGTGGAAGAGGTAATATATTTTATTGGACCAGCTTCCTGTTGGTGAAAGAGACAAGTTTTTGAGCTACACACAAAGCTCTTCTTCAGGTCTGGGAAAGATGCTCAAAGTGTCACAGCTAAATATAATGTGGAACAGATTTTTAACATAAGAAGTTACACATTATAAGAGACTATTCAAGGTGAAGTGGCTCATTAACATATCTGCAATCATAGGACAAAAAATGGGTGTTAGTGGGTTACATATTATTGTAATAAGCCATAAATCCAGTGTCTTTATTAAGTTCATGATTTTTAGTATTGAGTACAGTTATGAATTTAAGCTCTCAGGCTCATCTTTTGAAACTGTTGTGCAGGTTTCCTTTGAGGATGAAGACTGAGAGCTCAGATAGGGACTGAGTGCTTTGTGAAAAATGTTCACCATGAGTGATAGGGAGTTTTTATCTTTTATCATTTTTCTGTGTGATTCATAGATTCATAGATTCTAGGACTGGAAGGGACCTCGAGAGGTCATCGAGTCCAGTCCCCTGCCCTCATGGCAGGACCAAATAATGTTTAGACCATCCCTGATAGACATTTATCTAACCTACTCTTAAATATCTCCAGAGATGGAGATTCCACAACCTCCCTAGGTAGTGCATTCATTTGAGAGTGTAGTTATTGTCTGGTTTCACATACACAGTTGATACTGGGGCATTTAGTGCACTGGATGATGTATTCCACATCTTGTGATAGGCACCTGTATGATCCATGGATCTTGAAAGGTTAGAGGGTTGTTTGAAGGCCAGAAGAGAAGTTTAGGAAAGATTTCTTTCAGGATGGGGTCCCCATCAAGTATGGGTTGTAATTGTTTAACGATATCCCATGTGGGTTCCACGGTGGGATTGTAGGTAACAACTACGGATATACGGTCAGAGGCTTTCCTCCTCCCCATATTGAAGCACGTTTTCTCGGGGTATTCCATGATATGATCTACTTCTCTGGTGGAGTGTCCTTGTTTGGTGAAGGAAGTTTAAAGTGTGTCAAGATGTGTACCCTGGACTTTTTCCTTGGAGCATATTCTGTGGTATCTGAGTGCCTGGCTTAGATAACAGATTTCTTGGGGTGTTTGGGGTGGTTACTATGAAGTTAACTGTAGTGATCTGCGAGTTTCTTGTATATTGTTGTGTGTAGGGTTCCATTGTCGAAGCTGATTGTGATGTCCAGGAAGCAATGCTGGTGCAGGAGTGTTCTAGAGAGTTTAATGGATGGGTTGTGTTTGTTGAAGTTATGGTGGAAATAAATCTATGAGGTAGTTTAGGTCATTTGCCTAGAAGATGAAAACATCATTGATGTATCTCAGGTATATCATTGGTTTTGTGGAGTATTTGTCCAAAAATTCTTCCTCAAGGTGGCCCATGAAGAAGTTGGCATACTAGGGAGCCATCCTACTACCTCTGTCTATTCCTGTGATAGGGCCAATAAAAGATATTACCTCCCGCTCCTTGTCTCTCTAATATCCTGGGACCAACATGGCTGCAACACTGCTAACTCAGATAGCACATTTATATGGGATGCAAACAAATCTGGGTCTAAAAATCAGTCTACTCTAATAAGTCCCAGTACAGGAAAGCATCCAATCCTTGAGGGGGCCACTTAGGGATCTGGGGCAAAAATCAGTACTTGGTCCTGCTAGTGAAGGCAGGGGACTGGACTCAATGACCTTTCAGGGTCCCTTCCAGTTCTAGAAGATAGGATATCTCCATTAATTTATTTATTTAAATTTAATTTATTTATTTGGAAAGCACATAAGCCCCATTTTTAGGGGGGGAAAATCCCTTCTCCCTCTGTAATTTTTTTAAGCACTTAAAGTTAATCATGTGCTGAAATGTTTTCCTGAATTGGGACTGTGACAGATATGCCTATTTCCTGCATATAGTTGGGAGACCTTATTGAATTAAGTTTAAGTATCTTTGCAATCCAGTGTATAAACACAAAGTTTAGGTATTACTGTGGAGTGAGATTGCATGTAACCTCTCTGGGGGAGACATGATGTGAGGCCTGGGAGTTCATAGGACTATACTGAAAATGTGTCCGAGAAGAATGGACTTTTGGGACAAGTGTAAAGTGGATTTTCTGGGGAAATACCTACAGAGAGGTTAATGCAAATTCCCTGGTTATACAAAAACTCAGCCTCTTGGAGCTTCGTCCTGAGGAATGGATCACTGTGTACTGATCATCTGTTTCCAGAGACTGGAGGTCAAAGGCCTTAGCTGTATAAATAAACAGCTGAACTACCTAGCTTGTGTTCTGGTTCTGACTTATGTTATGAACTTGTAATAGGGTGACCAGATGAGAGACGTGAAATATCGGGACGCCGGAGGAGGGGGGGTGCCAGCGGAGGAAGAAAAAAGAAACAAACCAAGAGCCAGCAGAGGAAAGAACAAAAACAAAAGACAAAAAAAAAAAAAAGAAGAGCCACCAGAGCATAGGAAAAATTGGTGGGGGCTGAGCTCCCACCGGCAGCTCCACACCCCGCCCCCCCGCACCAGCTCGCCTCTGCCTCATCCTGCTTCTCCCCCCTCCCTCCAGCACTTGTGCCACCATACAGCTGATTAGCGCAAGCCTGGGAGGAAGGGGGGAGGAGGAGGAATGCAGCGTGCTTGGGGAAGAGGCGGGGCCAGGGTGGGGATTTGGGGAGGGATCCAATAGGGGAGGGAGGGGGCGGAGCCACGACGGAGTTGGGGCACGGGAGCGCAAGCTCCCTCCACCTGTGCGCTGGTGGGCAAAATATTGGGACAATTCGCGTCCCCATCGGTTGGGACGCGGGACAAACAAGTAAATATCAGGACAGTCCCGATAAAATTGGGACGTCTGGTCACCCTAACTTGTAACCACAAGGAAAATCTAGTTGTGGATTTTGAAGAACTGACACCTACCGGAGCCAGAGCTTGGAGTTGGGGGGTTACCTGTGGTAAGCTTTCTAGCTATGTGGGTAGGTTCTTTTGATTGTTTTTAAAATGTTTTCTCTGTAATGCTTTCACGTTAGGAATAAATGTGCTTGCTTAGAAAGGACTGTGTGGTATCTTGAAACTGCAGGCAACACACTGGAGAGAAAAAGTGCAGCCACTAGCCTTTTCAATAGTCTGGTTTGCTGGGAATACCAAACTGCAGGCAGGGATCTGTGCAGCCTTAATAATCCCTGGTCAGGAGGGAGTGAGATGTCATCCTTCACCAAAGACAGATGATAGTTGGGATCTCAGAATGTGAATGCAGGTGCAGTTACTCTAAAACTGTGACAGGAACCATAAGGAGGAACAGCAGAAGGCAAATGTGTTACTGAGAACTTATCTGCAACCAAACAAATGCTATTATTTATTATTAATACTGTAACCATGATAAAATAACAAATACACCATAGTTATTCACCCCTCTGGGCTTCATAGGGCAGTCTATCTATGCCATGCCTGCCCTGTTTAGATTGTAAGTCCTTTTTGTATTTTGTACAACGCTAAGCACATTGTTGGTACCTTAAAAATACATAATGCCATCATATGTAAATGTTTTACATTTTTAGGGGGGGGAAATCCCTTCTCCCTCTGTAATTTTTTTAAACCTGGCGAAAATTGAGAGCGTCCACAAACTAAATAGTTTATATTGCAACAAAAGAAAAAAAAGGCTCATTTTGCCATCTTTATCTGGAGGCAGACTACGCATTAGCTCTCATGTGTCTATTGCCCACTGCAATCCGAGCGGGAACGAACTTGCTCTTATAACCCTAACGAAGCAGGACGGATCAGGACAGCCACGTTCGCTCTCTAACAGCCATTCACAATTCCAGGTGGAGAATTCCGATTTTTGTCACTGGTATTATCAGCCTCCATCAGGCCGTCGCTCGCAGGGTCCATTCCGGGGCAGGAGCCAGGCCGGCGGCCGCGCTCTGTAGACGGGTTTGCGGGAGCCCGGGGAGGGCTCAGCACAGCTAAAATGGCAGCGCTTCCAGCGCACGCGGCTCACGGCCCTGGGCGGCTGCGCGCCGCGTGCCCAGCAGGGGGCGCTACCTCGCCCTCCCCCGCCACTCAGAGTATGAGTGACGTCCCGGGAAAGCAAACCGTCAACGGCCCCTTCCCGGGTAGCTGCGATTCCCCCCCGCCCCTCTCAATGGACTGATCCACTTGCCTAGAGAGGGGCGGTGAGACGGTCGCCGGCCATTGACGGTGAAGCAGGAGGAAGGGGATCTGGACGCGCTCACTGACGGGGTAGGGGCGCTAAATCCGCCCGTTTGCTGCGACGGAAGGAAAAGTGCCTGTCACCTCGGGGCTGTGTGTGGCTGGGACTCCGCGGCGCCCCTCACTGTAAGTGTAGAGAGGGGAGGGGCTGTGTGCTGTTGGGGGTGTGTGTCAGAAAATGAATTAGGTAAGTTCGTTCCCCCCTCCGGGGTGGGATGGTCTTTCCCAGCGAGTCTTTCAAGGCGAGGCGGGGCCCTCCCTTTCCTCCCTCCCCTTCTCCGCGTTGGTTCCGCTCGCAGCAGGATTTAGCCGCCGCCTGCCGTCGTCTCCGCTTGTGCCGCTTGCAGTGAGAGGCTCCTGGACGTTTTTCTCTTTGCCTTAAAGTCGGTGAGGAGCGAGCGGGGCCGGGCTCGGGCCTCCCCCGGGCACTGGGCTGGGAGGAGGGGGGCCAGGGCCGGGCCTCCCCCGGGCACGGGGCTGGGAGGAGCTCCCCGGGCCCTAGGACAGGCGGGGCTAGCCGGGGCCTGCAGGGCTCTTCCCCTCTCCACCCCCGTCCCGCGGCGGCCTGGCCCTGGCGGGTACAAAGCCGCGGTCTGTGACGGGGAGGCCGCGGCGGTGAGCACGGCCCGGCTGGACGG